ACATATAGGTACGCTAGAAATATACTGTACCTTACCCAAGACCCAAAACTGTACCGTACCAAAAAGGATACTACCTGTACAGATCGGGAGATTTGTCTCCTGATATGTACTCGTTATTCATTGATTCAACCTGCGCTTGCTATATGATCAGTTATTATCATTACATCAGTGTTTGTGTTAAAATTCAATGTTTGGTGTTTTATTGAGGTTAATTAGAAAGCAATTAATGTTTTATATATTTTCCAAACATGTCATGCGAATAATTTTATTATATCAAAGGCAATTGTAAAAAAAAGTCTTTTACAATTGTATAGTACAATAATAAAACTTACGATGATAACTGAACAGATTCTTTGCCATTATGTCTATTAATATATACTTGCTGCGAAAGATGATTATATCTTATATTAATCGTATATTTTCACAGACAGATAGTAACATTACTGAACTATTTAAAAATTTTAAGGTGCTGTATTCAATAACAATGAGTAGACAAATTAATAGTTCAATGGTCTGAAACTTATAAAACCAAGATAATTACAGGTTAAATTCGTTTCTTTTCGTTATTTATAAATGTATTAGTTTGATTTTACGTTTTTTTTATTTTGATGATAATAAGTTTTAAGGAATTCTGTATAGTATAGATTATTTAGCAGTTCGTGAGAGCATAAATAAAATTTAAGTGAATATTTTAAATCCAATTGTTGCTGTTTTTTAAAATTCAATAGTCTCGCATTTTAAGTATAAAAACCAGGAAGGAAATTGAAAGAAGGATAGTAAGCCCTACAACGCCTAAACTGAAGATGAGTTTATATTATTATCAAAATCGTCAAGTAGCAATAGTTAAGATTGACTAAATCAAACTTGTGAGGAAGCTCGGATCGGCTTAGTTTATCTAATAGATCTAATGCATAACAATAGTATCAAGCTTATGATTTTTGTCTTGAGCAACAATTTTTTCAATAATTATTTTCAATTTAAAATACTAATATATTGAGTCACATTCTACCAATAATTTCTTTTAACACGATGAAATAAAGGAGCAATACATGCGTTACTTTCTCTGAATTATTTTGTCCTAAATCCTTTTATTTACTCTAATTGTTATACTATCAAATATTTCAATCAATAAATTTTTTCGGGAACATCGAGAAATAATATAATATAAAAAAGCGCAGCATCGCGCATATTCACTCACGATAATTTTATATTTTGTTTAAAAAATAGGTTAATATCTAAGAACTACGAAGAAATTCAGTGGGCAATTTTGCATCAAACCATTCAGGGATATCTTTCCCCAATGCATAAAGAGCCAGAGCTGCGCAATCCATATTTTTCACATCACTTTCAATTTTCGAATTTGGTTCAATTCCAACACCACGAACAGCTAAAAACACATTAACTTCTTGATCACTACTTCCACCATGTCCTTTTCCAACACCTCCATGATCAGTTGTCATCATTATAAGAGAATCATCATTCCAACCAGCTTCTTCAATAGCTTTAAGTATCGTTGCGATTTGGGAGTCCATAATTTTTATTTGGTCTAAATATGGTTGAGAACCAAAACCATATCCATGACCATGTTCATCTACATCAGTTAAATGTATAAACAACAATTCCACATTTATATTTTCTGGATTATGAATGTATTCGACTAATCGGGAGACCACATAGTTATCATAAATTGAACTTTTAAGAACGTGATGTTTAAAACGGAGCCACCATCTCAAAAACATATCTTCATGAGTGGGAGGAGCGTATAAATCAGCTTTAACAGATAATTCAATCATACCAGTATTAATTGGTTCCCATGCAACATATGATGCCATCTTAATATCTTTTGAGATATTAGAAAGAATTTTAAAAATTTTTTAAA